AAGTGTTCAAAAAAGATGAATGTAAGTGAACATAATATATGAGTAGGTGATACCTATAGAATGATGAAACGTACTCTTCGGGCTCCTTCTTGTTATACCATATGCATGCAATAGCATGTCAACATGGTATTCCACTTAAATCCCACTTCCTACAACCATATTTCTGTTGAAGCAAGTTCACAACATATGTCTCAATACCGTTTGAAATTCCGAATATAGCAGTCATCATTTGCATGCCATGTTGAAATCCATCCTTCTACTGCCCTCTTTGTTTTTTCCAAGACTTTTTGAATGTTAGGACTTGTAACACCTGTGTACCTACTTAATTTCTCCTTTTGAGCAGAGATTCTCACTATTATGTAATGTTTGATTCCTTCAAGTAGTGAAATGATCGACTTATCTCTATACTCCAAGATTGCGCGATTAAAAGCCTCACACATATCATTGACTTGCAAATCACATTGTGTGTCTGTTTTGAAATGAGACCGAGTCCAACATGCAGCTGGGACATCCATCATGTCTTTCCAAGCATTGATATTGAGCTCTTTCATATGATTCATTGCTCTTTCCTATACAGGTACTATTGTGGCTCTAGTTGCCTAGCATAAAGCCTCCTTCATGAATATCCCAGGATATTTCTTTCTCCAATTGCCATACAAGTGTTTAACACATAGTCTGTGTTCAACATGTTGGCTTGTCTCAAGAATAATCAGTACCAATCCCTGAACATACAATCCATAACAACACTGTAAATAACATTGTAAATCCATAACACACATGTAAATAACATTGTAAATCTATAACACATAGTAGCACTGTAAATAACATTGTAAATCCATAACACACATGTAAATAACATTGTAAATCCATAACACATAGCAACACTGTAAATAACATTTAAATCCATAACACACATGTAAATGACATTGTAAGTCCATAACACATAGCAGCTCTGTAAATAACATTGTAAATCCATAACATATATCAGCACATAGAAGCATGTAAATAACATTGTAAATCCATAACATATAGCAGCACTGTAAATAACATTGTAAATCCATAACACATATCAGCACATAGCAGCATGTAAATAACATTGTAAATCCATAACACACGTGTAAATAACATTGTAAATCCATAACACATATCAGCACATAGCAACATGTAAATAACATTGTAAATCCATAGCAGCACTATAAATAACATTGTAAATCTATAACACATATCAGCACATAGCAGCATGTAAATAACATTGTAAATCCATAACACACATGTAAATAACATTGTAAATCCATAACACATATCAGCATATAGTAACATGTAAATAACATTGTAAATCCATAACACATATCAGCATATAGCAGCATGTAAATAACATTGTAAATCCATAACACACATGTAAATAACATTGTAAATCCATAACATATATCAGCACATAGCAGCATGTAAATAACATTGTAACATATCAGCACATAACAAATAGCAGCACTGTAAAACTAACCTTCTGTTGATCTGATATAAATCCATATTTGTTATCTTGAATATATTGCAAGTCTTCTAGTAACAAATTAACGAACCATTGCCAAGAGTCTTTCGTTTCAGCTTCCACAACGACATAAACGATTGGATAAATCTTGTTATTTCCATCCTTACCAACAACACCTATAAACTGACCTCCAAAGTCCCCTTTAAGAAAACAAGCATCCAGTCCTATTTGACTTTAACAACTCCTCACCATAGCTTTTAAGATGTGTGAATTATTCACGACCAGCACCTTGAATCAATTCCATTGCCTTTTTTTTGGCTCTATAAGCTTGATCCTTTGACAACTTCACCCCCCACTTCTTAATAGCTTCTGCAATCAACCTTTTAGTTTTTATTTCAGGAGTGTGTCTTATAGTGTACACAAATTGGCGACCCAACCAATCCGTTTTTGCTTGTCCTATGACAACCATGACGGTCAGTTAAGCTAACAAGTTGCCAATATTGGTTGGTAGTCCTCATGCTAAACCTAATATAAAATGCACAACCATCTAAACACTTGACAACCATTCTCTTCTTGTCATTTTTCTTGAATACAAGATTCTTCTTGTTCTTCATTGCATACTCCTTTATGGCATCTTTGATTTGTGATTTATCCTTGAATATCATCCCTACTTCAAGTTTTATGGTTTCCCTAAAGATCGGAAATTTTTCTATATCACCTTCAGTATCACTACCGGGTGAAGTTTGAAGCACATCTGAATCACTACCATTATCAGGATTACCATCCAACTTTGAAGGTTTTTCTATTGTAGCATTAGGTAAAATGGTCTTCCAACTAATACCAACGTCAGCATCTAAATTCATCTCATCAATTTCATCTTCCAAATCTTCATCGTCTTCCTCGTCATCCTCACTGCCCATGCTATAATCTAGATTTGTTTCACTCTCTTCATCTACGTCATCAACATTAACGTTCACCTCTTCATCTACTCCACCAACATTAACCTCTTCATCTACTCCATCAACACTAACCTCTTCATCTACTCTATCAACCCTAACCTCTTCATCTACTCCATCACCATTAGACTCTTCATCTGCTCCATCATTTGCTCCCTCAACAGTAACTTCATCGTTTGCTCCCTCAATATTAACTTCATCGTTTGCTCCCTCAATATTAACTTCATCATTTGCTCCATCGACATTAACTTCATTGTTTGCTCCCTCAACATTAACTTCATCATTTGCTCCCTCAACATTAACTTCACTGTTTGCTCCCTCAACATTAACTTCACCGTTTTCTCCTTCACCATTGACTTTTTTACCACTATCCTCCTCAAAAATAACATCCTCAATACTTATTTCTTCAATTTTGTGTTCAACATAAATATCAACTACCTTAAATCCTCTAACATCCTCCATTAACCTTAAGACATCATTATCATTGTTCAGAGGCCGCAGTCTACGAGAAAAGAAAAATTTAGGATTCCAATACCATAAACACTTTTTATTACGATACCCCTCACTTTTAATCAAATCTTCAATTTGCATTTAGGACATCAAGTCTACATCCAAATCCCAATTTATTTCAGTTACAAACCCATCAACATACAACAGAACTGGATTCTGAATTAAATGTCCCCTATGGTGTACTCTAAATCTGACAACTTGGGTATTAGAGGGCCTACAACAGAACATAAACAAATTAAAACATAGATAAAAACGGGACCACATCAAATTAAGACTACATGGTATAAACAAATCATATGCTATGACAGAACACAAACGACATTTGTGTGCTTAGGGTTTTTGAATTCAGAGTTGAGTTACGAAACATACCTCGACACGTAACTTCGGTTTGTCATTTCAGAGACGAGCTAGGTACTACAGCGACAACGGGAGTTGATTTGTGGTTTGATTTAGAACGACAACTGCAGAATCTTTAATTACAGTTCGTCTTCGTGCGTGAAAGGGGAAAAGTAAGAATCTTCATTCCTGAACCGGGTTTGAAGAAATAGCTACAAAAATGGCTGAAGAAATGAGTTGTTCTTCGTGCGCTGGAGTTTTATAAAATTGAACTTAACTTCCTGAAAAATGAAATCAAAATAATAAATGACATGGAAATGATATTTGGTGAATAAGACAATTTTAAATGACATGGAAATGCCACATCTTCATTCAACGCGCCACATCATTAAAAACATGACTTAAAATGGCAAGGGAACTAATATCAAACTCAAAACTTAAAATAGGGACCTAAATGGTAGTTTTTAAAATGGGGGGATCAAAACCCAAAAAAACACAAAATAGGAGGACCAAAGTTACAATTAAGACAAAAATAAAAATGTAATACACGTCTATTATTGATTGACAGTATAAAAATATTTTTCACAATCAGTAAATATTTTTTTCTATTCTAATAACATCTCGAAGATAAGATCTCTAATTTTGTCAAAAAATTAAAATTTTTTAATATCAAATATCTTGTTTGGTTCTTTTTTTCTTAATATTTACAAGATACGTGTAAATTTTAAAAATAGAAAGTAAGAGAGATGTTGAAATATATTTTTTTATATTCAAACAATATCTCGTAGGATATGTCATTAACAATAGGGACAACTCTATGTTAAGATCAATGTGGCTCAAGATAAGATAGGATAGAGTCAGTATCATAAGCTTTATAACCTGAAAAATTAACACCTGCGACCAAAATGATTATAGCCATAAGAAAATCGAAAAATCCACATACACTAGATTTCAATGTTAATACAATTATCACGCCGTTTTCAGTATCATACTATTTTCCATGTCTGTTCAACCATTTGCATGGCCATAACACTATCTCCACAAGAATTCAAGATTTTCGATAACGATTGAGATACTTCTAAACATAATAGTCAATTCCAAATAAATATTAATGTTACACCTTAGTTGTGCAAGTGTTCAATCATGCATCATTCACTATTCCATTATCTATAATTTGTTAAACAAACATCATGTTTTACTCCAACGTTAAAAGTTGTCAAGTAATGATGAACAAACTCTAGAATATATGCTTCCTAAGTGGTGGTCCTAATGCATTCACTGTAGAAATTTCCTTTGAGGTTGGAAAGTTCAAATTTGTGGTCCTTAACCATCATGAATAAATGTGGATGGGAAGAACTTTCGACTTTCAAATGTTAAAGTGAATCATCACATATGCTTGTGGACCAAAAAGACAACAGATACACATGTATGAATACTAACCCACGTTGAGTAAAGTATAAACATGTTCATCCCACTCCAAAGCAAGTTACTTCCCCAATGTCTCAAATCATTGATGGATGTTGTTGCAACAAAAGTACATTTGCATTACCAAAAAGTGTTCTAATAAAATTTGGCAAAATATAGAATATCATGTTATACAAAAACCAGACCAACATTGGCAGTTTTATAAACAATGGTTGGATAATACTGCATAACAGAGGTAGTTACTGATGTTACAATCTGGACTATACTAAATGGCAGTAGAAGAGTTTTTAAGCATCCTGGGAATCTAATTGGAGGTTAATCATGTGAGAGCCCATAAGCTTAGAGATTTCCTTGATTGCAGCTTGGACATCATAGTCACTCTCACCGGGAAACGGCCGTCTTGACGATGACTGTTGGTTCATTCTTTCGTATTCATTTGCAGCAACCGTTGTCTTCTGGGAAGTGGCAAGGGCCCTCTCCAAATCTATCTGTGATAATGGTCTAGGTTCCTGAAACGCGAAAAATAAATAAATCGGCTTAGAAATTTTCATCACTAAGGCAATGAAAAAAGTAGAAGAGAATGACGAATATACTAACATGAGTTTGTTCCCCTCTCTTTTCATTATCCAGTAGTTCTCTAACAGGGAAATATGCAGCCTTCTTGCAAAGATCAAATAGATCTGAACCGGTGTAACCCGTGCATAATCCCGCTATACGATCAAAGTCTATGTTGTTTTCAATCCTTTCTTCCTTTAAGATAACCTTCAGTATCTCAGCCCTCTCTCCCCGGCTTGGAAATCCAATTTCAAAAGCTTGAGGAAGTCGACGGAGTATTGCTTCGTCAAGTTCTGAAGGGCGATTAGTCGCTGCAAGTACCATAACTCGAGCATTCTCTACACAAAAATACAAAATAACATAAAGCAGTTTACACAACAAATAAAAACTAGATGACAAGTAATTTAAATCTTACTGTTGGTGGTGAATCCGTCCCATAGAGCCATGAACTCAGTTTTCATGTTTAGCATAGCCTCGTGATCTGATGAACGGCGTTGACCCAAAAAACTGTCAACTTCATCAATGAATATGATGGCAGGCTGAAGCTTATCAGCCAAGCTAAATACAGCAGACACTGAAGAACAGCAAAATATTAGCGATAAACCACAACAAAGAATCACACTTAAACAAAGAACAAAACAAATTGACCACAAAAAATTAGATACAAATTAATACTCCTTCCATAATAAAATACATTCATAGAAAACAAACATATTGATGATACATTTGAGAATTGGAAGCTAAAAAAAACAAGTTCAATGATCAGTCACATTGTATACCAACATATTCTTTCACAAGACAAAATTAAGGCAGCCTGATGGTGTGAAAATCCAACCGTAGCAGGGTCTAGAGAAGGGATTTTTAGTGCTCCTATGAACTAAGATTTCCTGCATAGACAATTTGAGATATTTGTAGTTTCATCCTACTCGTAAACCATTAGTTTACTGGCTAGTATTACTATTTTCTATTAGTAGTTGTGCTTGAATGTCTCATGTATCATCATGATGGAGAAAGATCAAGATAGGGAGGTCAGTCATGGATAAAGGAGATCAATCAAGATAGTAGTTGTGCTTGAATGTCATGTCATATAAGGTTGTCGCCAAAATTATTATGCATGGCAATCATAAAAATCAAAGTTAGTCAATTTCCTGCCATACTTCTGCCCCCACTTGAGCCGACAGACACCGGCAGTTAGTGGTCGGGTGCCTATAAGCAAAGTACAGTAAAATTGTGTTTGAACTCATAATATCAATCTTTGACACTGAACAATTCTGATCCCGTACAGAAACGAAACATGGTGGTGGGATCTTGTGAAATTGCTTGGATCGTTGTGCTAACTTGTGAAATCACTTGGACCTCTAATCTTTCACAATTTCACTGATGCAAGTACCAACTGAGTTACATAGGTTGGATTTCTCTAATCAGTCACAAAAGTCAGTTTTCTAGGTTAAAAGTGAAAGTGTTAACAGGATGTCAAGCTTAAATCTAGCAGTAAACTGTGCTAGCCTCCTTCAATTGAGTTTGTCAGCTGATTTTCTCTCTATCTTCGGGTTCCTGCATGTATGAGCTGTTTGGACATCTCTCTATGCCCTTTGTTCGAGCATCACACTCCTCCAGGCTACAATAGCAAAGCATATCTCTCAGGAAAGGTTGGATTTCGATGAGCATGTGGAGCCTATATGTAGGTTTTTATACATTGGGTCCATTTCTCTCGACCTAGTGAGCCAAACCCAAATTGATCAGTTACAATATACGTGAAAAATAGCACATTGGAAGTTTTACTTTAACCTTTATTAAAAACACAATAGGCCAAAACCCAAGCAAATGGAATCGAATGATATAAGCACCCATTTTCTTATTATTCCGACAGCAACATAGATTATAGGTTCAGGACAGAAGTGTTTCTATGTTCCAACTGTTAGATTGAACGTTAGAGGGATAGGTTGATTTTGAGGGGAAGTATTTGTTAAGCTCTCATTCTCTTATTGTTAGGTTTATCGGTTAGTGAAAGAGGTGGACACACATAAATAGGACACAAGGGGAGAGGGACATAGTTCACATGTGGCATGATCCATGACTCGATACTCAGCCTTTTTACTTGATCGAGTAACGACAATTTGCTTTTTGCTCTTCCATGAAATCAAATTTCCACTGAGGAAAGCACAATAATCCGATGTAGACCGTCTATCGAGATATGTATAGCCAATGACATCAATGTTGCCTCTTGCGTTAAAAACCTTTCCAAGGAATTTGAATAACTGCATGCTAATGGTTGTCACAATGAGAGTTGAGAGTCTGACTGACTACACTCACCAGAAAAGATATATCAGATCGAATCATGGTGAGGTAATTCAATTTGTTCACATGTTTTCAGTATCTGATTGGATCAGCATAAAGCTCCCCATGATAAAGAAGAAGCTTTACATTAGGATTCATAGGAGTATCAACTAGTTTGCAAACTCTAAGACATGTCTCTTCCAAAATATCAAGAGCATACTTTTTTAAGAGATAACAATACCTGACTTCGATAAAGCCACCTCAATTCCAAGAAAGTAACAGAGGAACCAAGTCCTTAATATGAAAGTTTTGAAACATGTGTTGCTTTAATGCCTCGATACGCTCAAAATCAATCACAATACCATTAACATCAGAATTATTAATAGCGGATAGCGGAGCAGTCAACCTCAAAAATGGGATAGCGGATAGCAAGACAAGTTTTGTTGACTTTTTTAGAATTGACTATTTATTGAGCTAAATATATAAATAATCTATACAAATAAATTATTTTGGGTGAACAATTAAAAAGAATATTAAATTAGCAATCCAAAAGTTTTATAAAAATCAAATTAATAAAATAAAAATAAATTACACACTTAATTATTTGTTCTGATATATTTATTATTATTTTTATTATTAAATGTTATTAGGGGCTAATATGCCTTCTTTTTAATAATTAAGATACCCAAACATAAAGAGAAACACTCAGATATGTACTCTAGGGCCTTTTAACCCGTCCATTTGGTTACACCTCGAATATAACCCTAACCACTATTACCTTTCTTCTCCATTTGCAAAACAACCTGAGAACCAGAGAAACACAGCCGGAGAGAAGAAAAAAAAAACAAAAGTTGTTTGAAACCGCTCCGCCCAGGGAGCGCAGCGCTACCCACGAATCACTTTCTCGCCGGAATCGGCCGCTCTCTCAGACTATGATTCACTCCCATGTTTGCGTGCGGATGGGGGCCAAACCTCCCAAGATCGTGCCGGAAGCGGCCGCAATTAATAACTCTGATTAACATAAACCACTAGATAGATATACTTGATTGAAGAGGAAAATTTGATAAAAACAGAGTAATCTGCTTCACAACGTATCATCCCAAATTGTTGTAATTCTTTGTTAAATCTTCCAAACCATGCCTGAGGTGATTGTTTCAAACCATACAAGGACTTGTGCAATTTGCTTATCAGATTACACTTCCACTGAGCGACAAAACCAGGAGGTTGCTCTATGTAAATCTCCTCCAAGTCACCAAGTAGAAATGCATTCATGAAAGAAAATCCAATTGAAATAGAGGCTGGGGTTTCATGGAAGCCATGTCCAAAAAGAAGCCGAATATATGCCATTTTTGCTACAGAAGAAAATGGGTCATTGTATCTTACCATAGACTTGAGTATATCCTTTTCCACTAGGCTGACTTTGAATCGATCTACATGTCTGTCAGGGTCCACCTTAACATTAGATGTCCACCTGTAACCTACAAGATCTTTCCTAAAAAGAAGTGGAATAAGCTCCAAAGAACGATTAGATTCCAAAGTTGACATTACATCAAGTATTGTTTGCCTCTAATCTTGATGGAATAATGCTTCTTGAATAGTTTTAGGAATAGAAACATCTGAAAATGTAGAAACAAAAGCACAGTAGGTGCGAGATAAATTGTGGTACGATGCATAATTATAAATAGTATAAGGGTTGTGGGTTTAACATGGAAATGGGCGAATCAAGAGACGCAGAAGGAGCTAGAGTAGGGGTAGAGGCACTTGGAATAGGAGCTGAATTACGTGGTCAAGTAGGGGTGATGCCATATAAGTTCAAAGATGATGGATATCACTAGCTGGAGGACAGGAAGATAAAGAAGTGGACTCAACTGACTCAAAGATTTGATGCTAAAAGACAAGATAGTGGAAAATCAATGTGTAGAAGCAAAAAACGGTAGAAACACACCTCAGACGTGAGATCGGAAAAACTAGAAAGGGTCCCAGAAAAGCATGAGAGAAAACCGAGCATAGAAGAATAAGTATCGTCGCAAAGAGATGCACAAAGGGTGGTACGGGTCACACACCGGCAAGGTCTTATGAGTGTGGGGGCATGTGGAGAAGATTATGACACTGGGAGGTAACGGTCGATCAGAGATTCCAATCATGGTAGAAGAAACCTGGTGACGATAACAATACACAGCAGTATACCCAAAAAATTAAGATTATAAACCTTGCTTTGTATACCAAATTGAGATTGAAAAGTATTTCTTTGTATATTACGTGAGGAATATATATATATATATATATATATATATATATATATATATATATATATATATATATATATATATATATATATATATATATATATATAGAGAGAGAGAGAGAGAGAGAGAGAGAGAGAGAGAGACACGAAACCGCTAACATTTTTATTAGACACTGACACCAGCATATATATTTATTATAATAAAATAAAATTATATATATATATATATATATATATATATATATATATATATATATATATATATATATATATATATATATATATATATATATATATATATATATATATATATAGAGAGAGAGAGAGAGAGAGAGAGAGAGAGAGAGAGAGAGAGAGAGAGACGAAACCGCTAACATTTTTATTAGACACTGACACCAGCATATATATTTATTATAATAAAATAAAATTATAAAATTATATATATATATATATATATATATATATATATATATATATATATATATATATATAATTTTATTTTATTATAAAGAAGTTAGTATTAAAAATAAGATTTTAAAATAAAAACATTACTTCAAAAATAATATTAGTACTACTAGAGTTAGTACTAGAGTTAATAACTAATAATATGTTAGTACTAAAAACAAATAAAAAAATTCTAGCATTTTATTAATATAAGATAGTAATGCTTTCTTTTCATTTTAATAAAGTCAACTAACCAACAGTAACAATGAAAACAAGCAAGCAAGTTTTTTTTAACTATAATATAAAAATAATAACAATTTTTAAAAAGTATACAGCAGCAAATACACACATTTTACATCAAACAAAGACACGGTACATTACCGTACAGTAGCAAATAAAGGAAGTAAGCAAAGAGATATGAAAACACACTTAATGATATTATACAACAAAGAAAGAAAAAAAAAGCAGAAGCACTAAACAAAGTGCAAAAAACACAGAAGCAAAATATGTTATAATGTTACACGGCAAAAGAAAAAAGAGCTAAGAAGAATTGAACCTAGTGAACATCAAAGTCAAACGGCAAAGAAATTTAGAAGAGAGTATGAATAAGGCAGTGTTTTCAATGGTGAATGGCAGTCCATGACAGAGAGCCAAAATTTCGCAATACTAGACGCATTGCGACACCGTTATAGCAGAATATGACAGAAAACTGTGATATCGGTCAATATTTACCATTGCAGCGAGCCCAAAAACTGCCATGTATATCCGCCATAGCGCCGCAGATATTTGATAACACTGGAATAGTGCAAGTAATATTTAATTTATATTGTTTTTTTCTAGTTTTGCTATGCATAGCTGGTCCTAAGCAGGGATAAAAGGAGAGGGTTGTGTTAGGCAGTCGGCAGTCGACAGTCAACATAAAATTTTGGATAGAAGCGTAGTCTTTAATAGAACATTATAGCAGAAATTGATCCAAGTAGCCAACCCCACTTAGTGGGATAAGGCTTGGTTGTTGTTGTATTTTTTTTTTCTGGGCTTTAAAATCATGTTTCAACCCATAGAGTATTTTGTAAAACAGTGTCCCTTCTGTGTCTTCTTTTTGTTTTCTTTTTTTTCGGAACAATCACTTCTTCTGAAACATGTCGTGCAGGTGTCTGACATGTGTCAGACAGTGACAGTGGCCACACAAGTTGCAAGCAATGTATGTGCTTTTGATTCCAATATCTCAACAAAGTGAATAGAGAAACAACTCAATTGTAAAATAGAAAAATTGTTGGAGTCTTTTCGCATGTTCCATACATTGAGTCATCTTTGTCATTTCCAAGTAGTTCAGTAAACTAATCTCAAAGCAAAATTGTTTGTCATGCATTCAGAAAATTCAAAATCAAACTTGTAAATTTTGTGTTGAACTAAAATTCCCTTTTAAGCAAAGAAACTATACGTCACTATATCAGAACTCCTCTAATCCTATATTACCAATGAAGGCACGACTAACCATACAACTCCACACAATACCACTTATAACAATGAGTCAAACAGGATTGCAACACATTCAACTTATACATCCAAAATAAAAAATGATACACAGCTATTACAATAGTTGATACGCCAAACTTTTGTATATAGTGCAAAGAAAGCATCAATAACTGAATGGGTATTTGCGCAAACATAAGGATTTTTTGAAAAATATAACACTTATATTTTACTGAACTAAGAGAATCATAACAATCATATGAACAAACAAAAATTCAATGTAATATCAAAATACACTAAAAGATAATTCTATGGTGCATTATAAAAGAATTCATAAAGATAGCACACACTTACCAAGCTTCTGGGCATCCCCAAACCATTTGCTCATGAGGTTAGATATCTTCACATTAATGAACACAGCTCCAGACTCCTTGGCAATAGCTTTTGCAAGCATGGTTTTCCCAGTGCCAGGGGGTCCATACAACAAAACCCCCTTCTGTGGTCCAAGAAGCTTGCCATGCGAAAACAAGTCAGGCCGTTTCAACGGTAGAATAACAAGCTCAAACAAAGCTTGTTTAATGGTTTCCAGTCCCCCAATGGAGTCAAATTCCACATCAATATGGTCGGGGTTTATAACATCACAGGCTATCACATCCTACACACAGTAAAGTGCACAAATCAAACATACAGTTAACTAGACCTAGAAATCCATTTTTGAACTGATTATAGAAGTAATCATCGGTACACCAAAAGGTTGCGAAATTGGTACCTCATAGGGATTGGTTTGAATGAGGGGGCGACCAAGACGTTTGGCAATCTGTTTCTTTTGCTCAAGAGCTTTCTTGGTTGATTCACGGTTAGGGTCAAGGTATCGGAGTCCGGTGACCAATACCCAGTAACTCAGCGCCGCCCTAGCTGCGTACAGCAACAGCTCTTGCAGAAACTTGGTATTGGCTGAACCAGTCATTCTCTAAAATTCAAGATATAACCCTAAAAGTTAGAGTCAAATCTTTTTCTTCTTCCTCAAAGTATAACTCCAAAAATTCAAAAGTATTATCAACTACCGAGATTCTAGGATGAAATAGGAGGTTGTTAAATAAAAGGAAAATCGAGAATATCTCAAGTTTTCTAGCGGGTGAGGATATTGAAATTACTGGGCCTTACTTTTCTAATTCCAAGCTTTTTTCACCCATCAAGCTTTACTTTTTTTCACCTAGGATATATTTGTATTAAATTTTTTATATTATTTGTTGTGTTTCTTGTGAAAAATTAGCAACATTTTAGTATTAGTTTATATTTTATGCAAAAATATTATATATTTTAAAATAATAAAAAACAAAAATATCTAAAAGGTTATTGTTTCTACCCAAACCGAACTCAAGAGAATATCATCTTGTTGAGATATTGGTTCATATCAAAGATGATATAATCTCAATTAGAGTTGTCAATTTAAAAGATTTTTATAGGAGCCTACAATTTCAAGAATATATAAACCTCAAAATAATTAAGTTTCTTAAATTAAAGGTCAATTATAGTAGGGTTTTTAAGTCCCAAGCTTTCCTCTCAAAGTTTTATTTAATTTTAAAAAGAAAATTAAAAAATATCGTTTTCAAAAAAAAGAAAAAAAAAATCATTTTTTTAATATTTTTAAACACAAATATTTAAATATTTTTATATTTTTCTATTTTAATTTTTCCGAGTTAAATACTTGTGTTAGCACATATTTGTTATAGATACTTTTATTCTAATATTTTTATTAAATAGATAAATATAATAAAAAGTTTAAGGTTAAATTATAATGTTAGTCCCATTTTAATCTATTATAAAATTAGTCTTCTATTTTAGTTATTTAGTGCATTTCACATTTTTTATTTTAAAAAATAAATGTTGATGAGTAGTTTATTAATAGTAGTCACTCATTAATTGACGTGGTCTATGTCATTTCTTTTACATGTCATTCACATTTTTTATATTTATTTATTTATTATTCATAAATAATTTTAAATTTTATTTTTTAAAATACCCATAAAAATGTAAATCTAACAAAAATAAAAATTTAGATTTAAGAAGAATAATTGCATGCTAACAAAAAAAAATAGACTTTTATAATTCACATTTTATGTCACTTGCAACGAAATTTATTTTGGATTTCACTTCTGCGTTTTACATTTAGATTTGGATGATTTTTCTAACATATGGATTGATTATGATTTAAGTTTTTTCTTTAACTTTTTCTTGTTGCTTTGGGTTTATTATGATTTAACCGTTTGTTGAGTGTCAATGTCTATTCCTACAAAATCTTATTTGTGACTTCTTTCGATTGTCTCGATATATTTCTTGCATACCCTTCTCCTTAACAACTCGCTAACAAAGGGACTATAGGCTGGAGCATAAAAGAAAGAGAATGTGAAAGAGAAATCATGAGAAAATATTCGCTTTTAAATTATGTGTTTGGTATTTTTGTTTTTGCAGAACCAATTTTATAAGTCTAAATTTTTTCTAATATTAGACTTGGACATTAAAAAAATTACTTAATTGAAGTATAAGGATAAAGAATTAATTCTTACAAGAAATGGAAGTAAAGAATAATGAGGTCTTGTTGTGATTTTTTATTTATTTGGATTTTAAGTTTAAAATCAATTAGAATTATTGAGAATATTAGAAAAATCAAAAGGATTAAAAAGATGAAAAATCATGATTTTGAATTTTGGCCATAAATGAACAAGAAAGAGAAAACATAGGTTCATCATGAGTAATTGTTTAAATTTGTAAAGGGCTCACAATGGACGATGTGAAATGGGAACAATGTAACATGTCACCCACAACATTTTCATGGTCGCTTGTTTTTTAGATTGAGCAACCATCATTTGGATTTGACGCCTATTTCACATATCGATCGCCCTCCTGTGGAAATATTGAGGTGATGTGTCCCAATTTGTTATAGTATGAAAGAAGGAGTAAAATGAAGTTAGTCGTGTTCCCTAAAGAAATGGGGGAGATAACCATCCTATTCCCACTCTCCTAGGAATGGAAAGCATGGAATCTATCTTCTTGGGATCTGAGACTCTAGACCTACAAAATTCTTATAAATATCTTAACCTTAAGGTTGAGAAAGAAAGGTTGCTCATTACGCAAAAACACCACATGCGAAGCTTATCACCGTCCATACTGGACTTACTTTAACACCACATCAATCCCAAAAAACTTTGACATCCCTACACGATAGGGTATTGTCACGTATTATACTTTTAGCAAGTACAAGTGGCACCCACCATGGATCCTGGTAAATCTGACATGGTCCACCATTAAAACATTTGGTTAGGTTGTTGTCTTTGTGTTCAGTCCCTTCATCCATCATGGTGAACAACAAGGTGTGAAGAAGATGTTTATCATCTATCTTAGTTTAGTTTTTATGAAGACAAAAACTTATTAAAGAAGAAAATCAAGAATGCATAAGCTTATGGATATTTTGGAAGTAAAGGAAATTGATATTGATGCTAAGGTACTCAATTGCAATTTATTATCTATAAACTTTAGATGCTCACAAAAATAATATTTATATTTATCTCTAAAGTTCTCAAGTTATCATGCATAAAAATCTTTGAAGCAAATCCTTAAAAAAACTTATTTTTTAAAAATTGTCTGCAGTTTTTAAGTCAGGTCAGTTTCATTTTTTAAGTCATGTCTAGTTAACCGATTTAAAAAACATGTTATTGTTTGAAATTTGAAAAACTATTTGAAATTTGAAAATTGTTTTGCATTTTTTAAATCAAGTATTCATTTAACCGACTTAAGAAGTATTGCAGATGCATAATTGTGTCTTTTCATGAACCATTGTCATTCTAATTTATTGTAAAACTTCATGAAAATGTCTCAAGTTTTTGCATAATTTCATAGATGTTTCTTAGGATGTATTTAAGTCAAAATACATTAGTTTTCAAATAATATTTTTTATTAATTTTTCATATCAATTCAAACAATTTCAAGTGTCCATACAAATTTTAACAACAAAACTTTGTGCATAACTTTCATATCATTCAAAGAGTTTCATTCAAACTTTTTGAGCACTTAAGATCTATGTAATTGAATTGTAATACATAGAAACAGAAGATCAATTTTCTTCTTGAAATTACTTCAAGAATTATTCTTATTCAAAATTGTTCAAAGTGTATTGTGAATTAATCACCAAAGCGTGTGGTGATAAGTTTGTGTAAATAAAAAGTGGTGTATTTTATATTTGTGAGAATCATCATAATTTTTTATGATTGTGAAAAAGATTATTTGAATTGGATTAATTCAAAATCCACCATATATTTGGTGTTTATGTTAGAATATTATAAGAGAGGTCTAAGTGTAAGACTTCTACAAAGATCTAAAATGGTATAAAATCCTTCAAGGTGTAAAGGGGTTAGATGTACCATTGGTTGATATAAGGAAAACTATGATAGTTCCTTGTGTTCATTTATTTTCCAGCTCTTTAATTTTCTACACTTTATATTGCTAAGAAAATACCATTTTCATATCCAAAGAAAATTAAAAACATGGAGCAAAAATGAGAAATATTCTTAAAATTTAATTCACCCCCTTTTAGGTTGTAATTTATACTTCTAATTGGCATCATAGCAAGTTAAGGTAACTTGCTCCTCGATTAAGGAAACTATGACTTCCACAAAACCATTCTTGGCATATGATGGCAACATCAACAAAGCACCATATTTCATTGGTGAATGTTATGATTTCTGAAAATTTCGTATGCAAATATTTCTAGAAGCACAAGGTGTAAAAATATGAAATGTTGTAAAAATAGTCCTTTCATTCCTACACAATTATTAATGGTCCAAGTCAACCAAAATCAAAAGAATAATGGAATGAAGAAGACAACAAAACTTTCTACATGATAAAAAGGTAAAAAAAAAAACTTTATTGCATCCTCTTTAGGGGTGAATGATTTCTTTCGGGTGTCTAATTGCAAAACAACAAAGAAAATATGGAAAATATTGGAATTGGACAACAAGAAGGATAAAAAGTCAAGAAAAGCATATATCGCTTGGAAAGACAATGATTTTGATTATTAGTTTCAAAAATGAAAAACAAATGCATCTATCTTTCATGGTTTCACATCAACATACAGATGGCGATTATTGAACTTTCAGACTCTCTTAGCTGCAAACTTCTCTTTGAAACCTTCACAAATGCATCCTTGAGATGGTACATGGGTCTGCCACAACTCTCGATCATCAACTATCAAGACTTGGTGAAAAAATTAATCCATCATTTTGTGATAAGTAGGCACAGAAAGATGGCTTCCATCAGCCTTTTTAACATTCATCATGGTCCTCTAAATATTTGATGGAGTATTTCACCTATTTCAATGGGGCAAAGATTAAGCTCGTAGGTGCATTTCAATAGGCTGAAGGCGGATAATTTTAATAAACCTTTTGCCTAAAGGCCCGCGTGTTCCATGGCTAAGGTAGTAACACATGCAAAATTATATATAAATGACAAGGAAAACAATGCTGAAAAAAATCATAAGATGGTGATCATGTTTGAGAGAAATGACCTTGATATACTTGTGTCAAACCTTGAGAATAGTTTTAATATTCAACGTGTAAAGGTGCGTGAAAATATTAAGTAAAACGATGATAAAAAATTAAAGTAGTATGACTAATCTTAAAACAAACCTGACATTGAACATCGGTAAATCTACCTCTACCACATCATTTTCCTCCTCTTGCACCTCTACCACATGAGATGCTTTCACCAAAGGAGGAATGATATGGAAAACTTATCCATCATCATTAGAAAATGAGGATGAAGAGGATTCTTTATGACACAAAGTAATGTTAACCTCTAATTTAGATCGAGTGAGATTATAGAGGTCACGTCAAGTTGAACTTCCTTATTGAACTTTAAAAGACGCATCTCATGCGCAATCAACAAGACTTTAACTTCTTCAAGCTCCATTAA